TTTGTGGTAGCCTCACAGATCACTTTTCCAGGCATCAATCAACTTACAAAATGCCATTTCTTAATCCTTACAGTAGCCTAATTAACACTGCAAAGCTTTTGAGATTAGACAAGAGAAGAAAAGCAGAAAGAACTCATAACCTACTATCTCAGGTTGGGAGTTTATGTGACAGGGCTTTTGGCACGTGGAAAAGCATGGCCAAACTTTTTCCAGAAGGAGCCAACTTCATTTCTCAGACTTTGAAACAGATCCACAAAAGAGAGGGTCCAAGAGAGCCTAAAAAAAGGATAAAAACAAAAGAACCAGGCAAGGTTCTGTTAAGAAAAAGACACGGCCTTTTTCATTTCTCCAAACTTAAGTCTGTAGCGTTTTTCATTCCCTCTCTTCATGCAGCTCAGGGTGCCTAGGTCTTAGTCACAACTCCTACAGGTCCCTACAGTTATCTTCTTTTTCGTAGGATTTTCTTTTTCGGTGGATGCACAGAAGCTCCCTTCAAGGAGCAACAAGTACTATGGACCCTTTGAGGTTGTTGACATAAATTCCTTCTGCATCCATAATGCCAAGCAAGTGCATGAGAATCCTAAAATCCACTTACTTCACACAATCCAAAAAAATTAGGATTATTAGTTTAAATATAGCTTTCCAGGTGAAGGCACATTAAATGCCAGACTAATGAGTTTTATATTGGCAGCGACAGCAGGATCGTAGTCCCTAGGGCTGGGTGTAGGAGTTTGGCAGCTCAAGACACTCAGACAGGTGCCTTCTGCTTCCTGCTTTCACTCATCCAAGTACCTCTGCTAGTTTGCTATTCCAGCCACCTGTCTGTTTTACTGATATGGCAAGGCTTGCAAAAATGAAGCAACATAGAAGCATACTTTATCCATTTTCTCCAGGACTGGTTTTGTTCTAATAAATAAAAAGACAGTTTGGTTTATTAAATCATGGGGGGAGTGGAGAAATAAGACTAGACAACAGGGAAAACACAGAGAAGATATCTAACAGAGCCTGTGCAAGACAGAACAAATAATACATCCCAAAGTGCAGCAAAGTAATCACCTGAAATTTCAAAACTCAAAGGCATATTTGGATTTAATCTTCAGCATATGGACCTACATAAGGTCACTAAGGCAAGCATCTCTACAGAAAATGCTTCTCCTACAGCTTTCCTGCATGCAGTTGACATATGTTTTTTTTGATAGGGCATTAATTCTCTCCTACCAGCTCCCTTACTGAGTCAGAGAAATGTTGTTTACTTGGTTTTAGGTTTAAAATGAAGGCAAGAAAAGAATACTTCAATGAAACTTTATGCCACTCATGGAAAGAGTGACCCTCTAAGGGCCATGTTATTTTTCTGTTTTACAAGGGGAGCCAGAAAAATGTGTTGGGAATTTTGGAAATGATACAAAGGGAACTGAGAATTTATATTGTAAATAGTGGTGTTGAATTTTGGCCATGACTATATGCTTTAGCTTTGCCCAAAGACATGCTTTGAACCTGTGCTCAAAGGTGCAAACCTTGATTGTGCACAGTGCAGAGAGCTGGCATCTTTGGTATTACAGAGACCCTAGCAAATACTTACAAACTTTCAAGAAAAGAGAACAGAGAACTAGTCAGACTGGAAGACAGAGCCTCTAGGATCCAGGAAATTTGTCTACATCCCTCTGGCCTTAGGCACTCTGGAGTTGCAATATTTAAACCAACAGAAATTTTCCACTCACTTGTTTGCCCTTCCCCTCTAGGCAATACATCTAGGCATGGCATTAATATTTGTCACAACTCTGTGATGAAAGGGAGCTGGTACAGGTTCAGATGAAAATTCCCAGGGGAGAAAAAAAAACCCAACCAAAAGTTTCACATCTTCCTGATTCCATTTCACTCTGCAGCGGCAAAAAGCAGCTCACCTACACAGCAGAAGGTGGAAAACAGGAACAGGGATATTGTCTGCTGCTACTGCCCCCACGCTGCAGACTGAGCAGCCTCAGTGATAATTTGCAGGACTCAGGCGCCCACTGATGAGCTTAGACGATGCTAGCAGCAAAAAAAAAATAACAGAAACCTCCAATAATTACTTGCTAGTTTCTAATAAATTATCTGTAAAATACATGGGACTAAATATATCAAATTCTTCTTCTATTCAAAAACATTGTATGTGAAAACTTTTTGAATGGACTTTTTACAAGGGCATGTAGTGACAGGGTTTTGGCTTTAAACTGGAAGAAAATAGGTTTGGTTTAGAATCCCAGTTGTCCATCAATATGAATGAAATGGCAACTGCCTTTGCAACATAGTCCCTCATCAACTTCATCACCAGTATGTCACAGAACCAATCTGAAGAATTGTAAATTGCTTCCTGAACTGTAGCTCTGCAGTTATAACCAATTTATTTTGGAAAGGCTGTTTTTGAGCAAGTCATGTACAACATTGTCTTTAAGAATATTTTCCTGTAAGATGATAAGGAGGCAGTTTTGCTAATGGCTTTTCACCTACTTTTCATTACTGTTGCTAAGAAGAAAGTTCTAAAAGTAATACCCATGATAAGAACAGGATGAGGAGTGGGAGGGGGTGGCAGACATGAGTCTGTGTTTCCTCACTTTCATGAGTATCTGCCATTCTTTCCATACCACATTATCATCAAGGGTGCATATAATGTCACCACGTAGCTGAAAAGAACTTCTGTTTCTCTTCCCACAAGTTTTTTTTTTAATTCCAAACTTCTACCTGATAGCTATAGCTGATGACAAAAAAAAAAAAAAGTCTCAATTTCCTCCTTAACTATTTTCCCATAACTAAAGAGATCTCTGCAAAAATGGTTTCCTGCATCTGGTCTCTCTCTCTCTCTCTCTGTGGAGTAAAAATACATTTGAAAAGGTAATGCTCTTTTTTTGGCAAGGAATAACCCACTATACTGGCACAGTTTAACCCTACGAAGTGACATGAGGAACCTGGGCTGACAAGTTTTTTTTTTCCCAAGGAAAAGTGGCATTGCTTGCGCTCAGGGACCTGTGGCCCTGAGGGGGCGGCCACTTGGAAAAAATCCGAATGGTGAAGGATGTGTCCCAGACCCAAGCTGCCTCCACCTCAAAATACTGCTGCCATGACAGTCCCAAGGGAAGCCTACAAAGTGACAGCAGGAACCTGGGCTGGTGATTTGTCTTTCCCAGGGCAAAGTGGCATTGTTTATGTTCAGGGCCCCGTGGCCCTGAGGGGGCGACCACCTGCAAAATATCCAAACAGCGAAGGATGCGTCCCAGACCCAAGGTGCCCCCACCTCAAACTTGTGCTTCCCTGACAGTCCCAAGGGAACCATGCAAACTGGTACCAGGAACCTGGGCTGCTGAGTTTGCTTTCACAAGGTAGATATCCCTCATTTATGTGTGTCACTCTTAACTCCTCTCCTTTGCCCCTCAGCCCCTCTGTGTCACCCTCCAGCTGCCCCTGTCCCCCTCAGCATCTCCCTGTGTCACCCATGTCCCCTCTCCCTGTTCCTCCCTCAGCTCCCTCAAGCTCCCACAGTGCCCCTCAAGCTGCCCCTCAGCCTCTATGCCATGAAAAGACTCTAAAAAAACATAAAAATACCCTAAAAAACCCTCATCTTCAAAATATCCTCAAACCCCCACAAAAACATAAAAATAACCTCAGAATACCCTTAAAATACAATAAAAATACCCCACAGGCCGGCATCAGGAACCGGGGGCTGCAGTGCCGCTCTCTGCCCACACGGCGGCAGCACCGCCGCCAGCCACAGCCGGGGCGCCGCTCGCCTCAGGGCCGCGGGCGGGGCAGGGCCGGAGCAGCGCGGGCGGATCCCCTCAGAAACATCCCCTGCAGCAAATGCTCCGTGTGCGGGACGGGTTTGTCCCGGCACTTGGGGCTCCCCGGGATCGTGTGCCAGGGAATAAAGCCCGCGCCGCGCTCCCAGCTGCGCTGCCGCGGTTCTGTGGGCTGCGCTGGGCTCTGTTTCCCGGGGAGCAGCGGGGTGGGGTCCCTGTGCCACCCCCGGGGGTCGCACGGAGAAGCTGCTCCCGTGGTACGGCCGAGGGTCGGGGGAAACCTGAACAGTCCTGATGGAAACCGCTGGAAAAACAAGTTTGGCTCGGTTTTGACATTTTCCCCCTGACCAGCTGGAGTGCTGAGAATGGAGCTCTGCAGAGAATGTCGTCTGGTGAGTCTCCTGATGGCCCATAGCTAATGCTGTGCTGGCACCAAGTCACCTCATTCTGATTTAAACTCTCTTGAAATACGCTGAAATTACTAACTGGACTACAAAATGCACGTGGGAAGCTTCATGTTCCTAAGGAAATGCTTTAGGGATGTGCAGCTTCTGAACTGCACCAGCAATCCCCGCTCCCACAGAAACCTGCTGGGCCGTGGTTCTGGGGCAAGGGTGGCAGAAAAGTGGCACCTTCAGTGCCACCCTAACAGGGATTTCCCTGGGAGCTCTCAGGATCGGGAGGAAATGGTGTTCCTGCCCCTCTGGGAAAGCGGGAGCAGGATCAGTGCTGCAGCTGTGGCTTTTTCTGCTCTCTGCAGCTGTTCCAAGGATGCCCTGGAGTGCTCTGGCCCAGGGCAGGATAATCTGTGTTTAGAGCTTCCCCCCTGCCTGGGTGCGCAGCTGGGTCAGTCACTGAGCTCCGTGGAACCCCTGAGGTTGGAAAAGCCCTTTGTGCTGCTGAAATGGCCCCAGGACAAACCTTCCCAAGCTGGAAGCAAAGCCAGGGGCAGGGAGGGGAATCCAAGAGGGTGGTGGAAGGGTTTTCTCCCAGGTCTGGACGCCCTCAGGGCAGGGGTGATTTTTAAGTATTGTTAAATGCTGCAGCAGCTCCCTCCCCATGTGAGAGCTGCCCCAGCTTGGGTGAGTGTGAGGATATCCAGCTCTTCCTTAGGGCTTGGAGCATGGCAGGGTGCAGAGCTCATGGTAAATCTGGTTTAAACACTTTTAATATCAAATGCATTAAAACAGAGACTTTGAGGAAATAACGTACAAAACTCTGTTGCAAGCATGGGTGCAAGCTGCCTTTATTAAAGATCACATTGACGATGTTTTGTCAAACCACTCTGAGGACAGAATGTGTCCAAAAAGCTTCACTAACCCCTTGTTCTTCTGCTGGTAGGGCGGCGTCTGACCCCAGGTCTCGGGGCTGTGTGGAGATTCCTCCCTGGAGCAGGGTCACCCCGTGAGGATGAGCCACAGAGGTTCAGTTCTTGGAGCAGGTGAGGATCTCTTTTACTTAGTAATTCTTTTTGCTGGCTTTAATGTCACAGCTCCAGTGTTCCTTCAGGCATTGTGCCCTGCAACAGCACTTGCAGCTCCTGTGCTGGGCAGGGAGCAGCTCTGCTGTGGGAAATGGACTTGTAGAAAATTGCCAGAGTTTGACAGAAGGTTTACATAGTATCTATCTGCATGGAAATTTTGAGATAAGAAATGCTGAGTTAGAAATGCCATGGAATAGGACAGGCATTGTTGAGAGAGAAATGGAACTGGAAACAAGTTTTAAAGGATGAGTTTGTAAATGAGACTAGATACTAGATGTATGAAGGGAGAATAAAAAAAGTAGGATTTAGAAATTTTATATGTTTCTTAGATAATTATATAAAGAGATGGTAAAGTATATGAAAATTGGTTGAAAATGTTATAATATTTTATAAATAATGTTTATTATAAAAATAATAGATTTATATACTTTGCATATTAGTAGTAAGTTTGAAGAAGATAATATGTAAATATTTTTTTAAGTTAAGGAAATAGAATAAAAATTTTTAAATAGCATGATCTTAATAGTAATTACTATTTTTTATGTGTTAAAAAATAAAAAAAGTAGAGATTGTAATGAAGAATAGAATTTTTGATGAAATTTATGATGTAATAAACTGTATTTCTTTTACTTATTAATAGATGTTAGCGTTTTATTTTAGTTGTTTTAATTGGAGTTGCTTTATTTTTTTAAGAAAATTAACCATATATTTATAGTTTAGAGAAATTATTTTTAATACAATTTAAGAGAAGTTATATTAAATAACATTTAAATTTAGAATGAATTTTGATAGTAAGGAATAATTAACTTAATTTTAATAGAATATTAAAGTGATAAAATGAAATTTAAGAATAGTTAATTTAAATATAGTGAAAATTAATTTTGTTTGATTTTATTAATATGTAACTTATTTAATGTTATATTTATAAAGACTTTCTAAAGTATTTTGGTTTTTGAGAAATTTTAGATTGTTGAGTTATGATTATTACTTATATATTTTATTTATAGGGAGATATGTTTCTTAGTAAAACATTTTTATTTATGTTATATTTAGAATGGTACAAATTTGTATAGTGGGTTTTTTTTAATGTAGGCTATTGATTAGATTGTTTTATATTTTTGGCGGGCTTAGAGAAATATTTATTTATTTGGTTAGGCTTTTCTATATTTGAAGTATGTTTTGATGGTTTTTGTTGTTTTTTTAGGAATTTTTCATTCCGAATTTGAAGAGTATTTGGTGTTTGGAGGAAATAAAGTTGGGGGTTTTGTTAGATACGGTTGAGTTGCATTTTTAATGTTAGTAAGGACTACTTTTGGCACGTTATTTTGATTTTTTGTTTGGTTATGGGGAGGGTCTGCTGTTAGATGTGGAAGCGTGTGACTGGCAGTAGGACTCTTGGTCTAATGGTTTATGAGGAGGTGTTATTTTAAGTTTTATAAAATACACTGAGAATGAGTTAAAATCATGGAATAAACATTATGGTAATTAAAGGGTGTTATGTTTCAAGAGCTATAAATCTTTTCTAATAACTGCTTGACACCAGGTGAGCTTAATCTAATTTTTCTGCCCCAGAAGGCATCAGGCACGTCTGCACCAATGGCACGACCTCTGCCCACTGCTCATGTTCCACCCAACCAAAATCAACAGCAAAAGTTGGTTGGGCTTTAAGAACTTGAAATAACTTTGAAGCAAAATAAATCACATTTTTCCCCTGTGTTTTTTCCTTTCAGATGCTGCACTCACCTCTGTGGACACGCACTGAGCTCTCACTGCAGGAACCCCTCAGGCCTCGGTGGCTGTGAGTTCATGTTCTTCTCACTGGGGAATTGAAATAATTGCTGGTTAATTGCAGAAATGTTTTCTGGAGCCTTTCCCCTTTTGTGTCCCTGTGCTGTGTGGGACAAGGGCAGAGGAGCCTCGGGCTGGAAAGGGGCGGGAGAAGGCAAAGGGACCCCCTGGTGTCCCCAGGGCTCTGTGGGGAACAGAAGGGACACTGTGCGGGCACGGGGAGGTGAGGAGTGACAGTCTGGGGCCAAATCCCAGCTCAGCCGCAGGGAAATAAGGGAGGGACATTTTGGAGGGGAAAGCTGAGGTCATGAGATCACCCAGCCTGGCCCAGTTGTGTTCACACAAAGTGGCACCAGAGGCGAAGGTCAGTCCAGAGCCCACCCTGCTCAACCTCTGAGTCCCAGAATAAATTCTACAAGCTGCCCATTGAGGGACTAAAAACACATGAAAGCAGAACCAAGAGCAACCCAGAAGGTTCCTGGGAATCCCATTACAGTGTTGTCACAGCCTTTTTAACAGAGCTGTAAGTTTTTTATTTCAACACTGCATTTCTCTGCTGGGATCATTCACTCTGGGGGCTGTGGGGACTTTTTGGGTTTGAACTCCCTCCCGGTGGCCCTGACACTGCTCAGGAGCTGGAGGAAAAGTAGAGGCAGCGCTCCTGGCAGGGGCAGGGAGTTTTCCCCCAGAGCAGATCCAGCAGCTGCCCACCAGCCTGGCCAGGAGGGATCTGCTTTGGCTCCCGGCTGCTGCAGGGACAGAACGTGTTCAGCTGCTCCAGGTGACATTCCAGCAGCCTCATCTCCCATCCAGGACAAGGCGGTGGCTGGATGCGCTCCCGGCCTGTGCTGAGGCAGAACATCTCTCCTGCAGAAGCTCAGCTCCTTTCAGAGCCTCAGCAGTGGCCTCTGCATGTCCTTTTCCCTCAAGAAAGAGATGCACATCCCTGACTGCAGCACACCTCCAGTGGGACCCACCTGCGAGTTTTCCATCACTTCTGCACTTCCAGCTGGCTCCCTGAAAAATTCCAAACGTCATCCCACTCCAACCTCTGATTTTAGGGCATCTCCGAGACTATTGGTTGGCATTTAATATCTGTGAGAGAAGATTGCCTTGGCTTTAATGCTGCTGGTGGATGATAGCCTCAGGCTGGAAAAGAGGGAAGGGATTTGGGGTGGCCAGGACATACCTGGCAGCTGTGTGGGATCTCTGAACCAGGAATTGCTGTCTGAGCTGCTCTACAAGCAGCCTGTACCTCCATTCCCAGGTAATGCCAGCTGCTCCTTGGGCTTCTGGGCTGTCAGTGGTCTCTGTCCAGACCAAAGCATCTCCCCATGCCTGGTCAGAGCAGCCCCTGGCTGAGGAGCCATGGTGCAGGCACAGCTTCTCCCCTGCATATCCCAAGGACAAGAGGTGCTGCTTCCCTTCCAGGGGTTTCTGGCCTTCTCCTGCCCTGCGCTCCCAGCCAGCTGGGACACACTGAGGGAACACCAAGGAACATTGCTGGCAGTGAGAGGGAGACACCGAGGCCTCTGGGCCAGAAAAGCAGCCCTGGCCTCAGCAGCCACCATCGTTTAGTCCTGACAACACTCACCTTCAGGCAATGCCCCCTGCTGCTCTGCAAAAGAACATCGGCCATGGAGCAAGGTAACCCTCAGGACTTGTCTCATTTGCTTCTCCCTGCAAAGGAACATAGCATAAGCAATTTACAGCTGTTGGGTAAATCCTAGAAAGGGTAGAAGAGTCAGGGTTATGGGGAAGAGTTTGGTGCTGTCATGTCAGGTGCTAGCTAGTTCTGCCCTACAGCCAGTGCAGGGGCTGGTGTGTAAAGCAGCATTATAAGAAGAAAAGGAGCTGCATTTGTATAGGAGTTCCTTACTGGAAGCAGTCATTCCTATCCCACCCGTGACCTTTGTCATGACCTTGACACTTGGAGCAGGGTGCTGAGAAGGCCAAAATTCTGTGTTCAATGTGCAGCTGGGCCAGTCGCTTCTCATCATTTAACTCCATGAGCCTCAAGGTACTGGAAATAAAGAATTGTTTTCACCCACTTCTGAACACTGGAGAGTGCGAGCTGCAGAGAAAGTGGGGGACAGGAAGGAGAGCATCAGGTCTCAGCGGGCAGGTGTTGGCCGAGCAGGCAGAGCAGGAGCGAGCCCTGGCAGAGCTCTAGCGCCACACCGGGCACAACTGGAGCAGGAGCAGCAACGCCTCGGCCCCAGCGACCACCCCGGAGCCGCTGCAGCCCCGCTCGTCCGGCGGGGCTGGGCTCCCCCGGGGATGCGGACACGGGGAAGGGGCTGCGGGCGCTGCTGCTCGCAGGGGAGCGCGGTGGCCACGGGGCTACCGGGGCGGGGGAGGCTCGGCATCCCGCGGGGGCTGCGGGGCGGCTCCGTGTCCGCCCGCGGGGCCGGAGGCGGCGGTACCGATGGGGCCCCGGCACAGCCGGAGTGGCAGCGCCCGTCCCGGAGCGGCTCTTCCCGCCCGCGGCGCTGCCGCTCCCGATCCCAGCCCCGATCCCGCCTCGATCCTCCGGCCCCGGCACCCCCACCCCGCCCGCCGAGGAAGGAGCGGCCCTGCCCGGCTCCCACAGCAGACACCGGCGGGACCGGAACCCAAATCCCCGGGTCCAGATCCCGGTTCCAGTCCCACCTGAGCGCCTCGGACACCGCGCAGCGCCGGGAGCAGCCCCGATCCGATCTCCGAACGGCGCCGGGAGCAGCCCCGATCCGGATCTCCGCACGGCGCCGGGAGCAGCCCCGATCCCATCTCCGCACGGCGCCGGGAGCAGCCCCGATCCCATCTCCGCACGGCGCCGGGAGCAGCCCCGATCCGATCTCCGCACGGTGCCGGGAGCAGCCCCGATCCGATCTCCACACACCGCTCCGAGCGCCGGTCCCGCCGCAGCCCGGGTCGAGGAGCCTCCGCAAGACACGGGGCGGGCGCGGAGCCGCCGCCATTTACGGGCGTGGGGCGGGGCCAGCACAGGTGCGCGCACAGCGCAGCCTGGAGGGCACGGTCGGGCAGCGTCCGGGTCCCCGTTACAGCCCAGTCACGGCCGCGGGGACCGCGCCTGTCCCTCCCGAGGCCCCGCTAAACCACAGCTCCCGCCGGCCCCGCAGGAAAGGCGGGGTTGCCTCTCCCCCGGCGCTCCGCCCCCGCGGCGCAGCTCCCGCCGAGGCGCCCCCCGCGGGACGCACGCCGGTACTGCGGGGAGACCCCGAGCGCGCCCTGCCGGAACCGAGCCGGCGCTGCGGCCCCAGCGGCGCTCCCCGGTCCCGGCGCTGCCGGATCGCTCCGCCGCTCGCCGCTCCGCTCACACGCCGGGCACGGCCGCACCGCGGCTCCGCGCTGCCCGCGGCACCTGCGCCTGTGCCGGGCCCGACGCGCGGGCAGAGCGAAACAGCCCCTCCCTGCCCCGGCCCCGTGTCCCCGCAGGGCCCTGCCGCTCCCGGAATGGACCCGTGTCACCCCACAGTGGCAGCCAGGTTTGGCCCCGGATCGTTCCCGCTGAGGAGCGATCCCAGCTCTTCCCCGTTCCCGAACGGCTGCTGCTGTCAGAGATGCCCGGCGTGGAGAGGGGACAGCGGAGTCGCATTTCACACAAGACCAGTTCGTGGTCCGAAGCTGAGCCGAATCAAGCCCTGCTCAACCGAACTGAGCCGAACTTAACTTTAACAAACCATCCCCGACCTGTAAGCTTTGGTTTTGGTTAGATTCGGCTCGGTCCAGCTCACCTCGGCTCGGTTAGGCCGAACTCAGCTCGGTTCAGCCGAACTTGGACCCGCTCTCTCGGTTTGACTGAACTTGGCTCGGTTCGGCCAAGCTCAACTTGGTTCGGTTTAGCCCGGAGCCGCTCGCTCCGTTCGGCGCAGCTCGGCTCAGCTGAATTCAGCTCGGTTCTGCTGTGCCCGGCTCACTCACAATTCCTTATGAGATGCATCACTGCTCTTCCCTCCTGCCCTGGGAATGGGAGCCCCAAATCTCCTGGCAGGCACATACCAAAGTGACAAGACAGAGTTTCCCTCATTACAGTGCCCCAAGCTGCGCCACGTTCCCCAGCTTCACAGGGAGGGCAGTGTGCCATGGCCACCTGCAAGGAGGCTTCTGCAGCGGGCACCTGGAGAGAGGGGCAGGCAGGGCACCTGGCATCGCGGAGATGTGGGAAGCCAGGCCCCAGCAGGCAACATTTATGAGCTAGGCAAAACCTTCCTCCTGGATGATCAAAGTTTCTCTGGAAAAAATGGAAGTAATCCAGAGCAATCTGTTTCTCCAGGAGATAAGGAGGAGTGGGCACTCACAAGGGAAATGGGGAGCAAGTGGGAAGTCTGTGTGTGTCAGCTCCTGCCTCGGTCACGGGAGGGAGCAGGGTTTGTCCTGGCAGTGGCAGTGTCACAGACAGAGGTACAAACGTGGCTGACAAAGCCCTGCTGTCCACAGCAGCTGCCCACAGCGCACTGCAACAACTGAGAGTGGAAGCTCAGAGCCAAAGGGAAAAAGTCTCCTTGACCTCTGTGAAGGACTGTGTGCCCTGCTCATCTCCAGGAAGGTCACAGCCACTCATCAGCTGCCTGAGCACCCATAGCTCTGTCAGACAGCTTCCCAGCCAATGCAGCAGAAAGGAACTTGGCGTGGCTGTGCCAAGGGTTATATGTGCATCTACACAGCCTGGAGAGAAATCAGAAACAGGAGAGAACATATCACAATTCTGGCCCTTCAGAAAGAAAGGAAACTCAGTCACATGATTGAGGGACAGCCAGTTAGTCCTGCACGGTGCAAGTGCTTTAATTCCAGCTGTGCACATAAGGCTTTAGTATTCCGGATAGCTGAGACCTGGGTGTTTCTCCCTGGCTCGGCCTCAGAGTCCAGATGGAAGCAGGAAGCAGGGCCACATCCCTGCCACATCCCTGCTACAGGTAACAAGGGCTCTGCCTGCACATCAGCTAGAGCATCAGCCTCCCCACCGCTCACTACGGGCACTACAAAGCAGAAATCCACCCTTCTAATGACAGCTGCAGCTGCATAACAGTTTGGGCTGATGGATGTGTTGCTGAGGGATATTATGAACTTGTTGGCAAGAAGCTGTCATTGTTTAAAATACCTCAATATGAAACTGGACACAGTTACCTGAAACCAAAGGTGCCTGTGACCGAGAGCTCCCTATGACCCGGGCCTGAGCTTTATTTCAGTCCCCGGAGCGCGGCAGGACCGTCCCGCTGCCGGCTCCTTCCCTTCGCTGCCGGCTCCTTCCCTTGGCTGCCGGTTCCCTTCCTTCGCTGCCGGCTCCTTCCCTTCGCTGCCGGCTCCTTCCCTTCGCTCCCGGTCCCCTTCCCTTCGCTGCCGTCTCCTTCCCTTCGCTCCCGGCTCCTTCCCTTGGCTCCCGGCTCCTTCCCTTGGCTGCTGCTCCTTCCCTTCGTTCCCAGCTCCCTTCCTTCTCTGCCGGCTCCTTCCCTTCGCTGCTGGCTCCTTCCCTTCTTTCCCAGCTCCTTCCCTTCGCTGCCGGCTCCTTCCCTTGGCTTCCTCGCCCAGCACCTGCGCCCGGTGGGAGGGACCCGTCCGGCTGCGTCGCGCTCTCCCGCCCGAAGTTTCACCGCTCCGAGACACGCTGGCTCGGGCGGGTTTTGCCGCTACTAAAGCCGCTGCTCTCGCCGCTTCATCCCGGTGATGCTAAGTTTCGGTTATCAGGTCGGGTTGCCACGTACGAGACGGCAACAGCTTTCCCCGCTCCAAACTCCCCGCAAGCTCTGCAGCGTCAGGAGTGTTGGCTTTGTTGCCTCGTTCTGCAAAGCCAGAGTCCCCCGTTTCTGCGCTCTTCTGCAGCGTCTGCCGAGGGAGAGGACGAAGGAAACAGGATTAAATGTCCATGCCTGTACAGAAATAATCGGTCTCTGCACCTCGACCCCAGTGCAGCCAAGGGAGGGAAGGCAGCACTGCTGGCTGCTCCTCCCCTGTGATTGAGCAGAGATTTGAAATAGCCAAAGCTGTCGAGCACCAACAAAAGTCTCACTGTGTGTGCTAGAAATCTTTCAGTGCTAAGTGCACATTGAACCAGCCTACTTGTCATGTTTCTTCTAGTGAAGCATTAGCATTAGTGTCAAAGCTTGTTAATGCGATACAGACATTATCCAGTGAATATATATATTCCCAGCTCATTTTGGGTGTGTTGCTATACTGAACAACGTGGGAGGGAACGGTGGCTGTCACTTCTCCTTATGCTGCTGTTAAACACCATCACTGCAGGGCCTGGGCTGGCCTACCTTGCTAGGAGAATTCTGCAGGGTGTGACAGAATGTTTAAAGTAATGAAACATTGGCATTGCAATTATTATTTCCAGGTATCTTTATTTCTGACACATTTGTCGGAGTAATTACTCTGGGTAGTAGTTTTACTTCAGGCAGTAAATTAGGTGCATCAGCTTCATCCTGAGCAGGTATCAGCACGTTCCCAGAAGGAATGTTAGCTTCTGTCCAACCCACTACAAAGGCCAGCAGGAGTGGTGCTGGTGCACATCCGAAATGAAGCACACTTTAACTCAGACTGCTTTGTGAAATTTCTGTTGAGATGTTTCTGCACACCTTCTCGTGACATGTTGAATTTAGAGATGAGCTGATAAAGGCAGGAACACTGTTGTGTCATCAATGTCTGAGCTTTTGAAGATTTCAAACCCCTTTGTATTAAGTCCTAAAATTTTGACCATCACTTATGACATGGATGACACCACCTCAACTTCTCTAAGGAAGCCCTTAATACAACTTAAATAACTGAAATAATTGCCCCAGAGTACATTTTTATGTGCTCCAGAGCACATAATTGCAAACTGAAATAATTGACCCAGAGCACATTTGTCCCAGCTGAGTGCTTCTGAATTCACAACTACTATGCACCATAGAATGGCAAAGTCTTTGCTTCACCTTTGCTGAGAAAAGACTGGATGCCCGGTCTCAAATCCCACACCCAAGGCTTTTTTTCTCATTCTCAAAGACACCCTGGATTGCAGCACAGTTCTTACACAATGGTGTCAACATAGAGAATTACAGACCAGATGCTGGCTAAACCTCTGGCTAGGCAACAGGATTTGTGCTGGGCACCACCACAGCTCATGAACACACTGCTCACAGCACACTATTCTGACCAAAAGATTCCTCTCAATACAAAATTTTCACTGGATGCAACCCTTCCCTTCAGAAGTACTCAAATGCTATCAGTGTCATGGTCACAAATGTACATAAGCACATAAGCAGCTTTTATGTTAGCTACATATATCCTCCAATGAAACTCTCCATCATGAGTCATGTTTCTTAAGGAAGCTCCTTCTGCTAAGATAATGAAGCTAAATTCAGGTAGCCTGGAGCAAACCCTTTGGCAGATACATGACTACATTCCTGTAGTCTAAATGAGAATCTTTTCAGGGTGTTCTAAAATATCCCTGGACCTGACTTCCTTAGAAAATAAATTGCACTTGGTACCATAATGACCTTAGGAAACAAAGCTTCATTTAAACTTAAAAGCATCAGCCACAATTAAAGCACTGCTTCATTTTGCTAGGATCTGTTTAAACCACTGCCAGTCAAAACATAACAGGGGCCACTGACCTTAAGTTTTTAACAAGCAATTAACTCTAACAAGCTTCCTAAAAATTTAGTTCTTTAGTAAATTAGAAAAAAAAAAGCCAAAACAAAAAAAAAAAGTTTCTAAACAAACAAACAATTGAAACCAACAAACAATCAAACAAACAAAACCAAAAAAACCCCACCCTCCAATAGGTGAGTCTGAGCAGGTTCATTCTAGAGCACCATCTTTCATTATTACGAATTCCACTGAAGTAATTACATCATCTTCAACCCAGCCTTCATCCCCCAAACCCAAGAACACTGTTGTTTTTTTTAAAGCAAGGATCTCTACCTCCACTCACCAATTTTTAGGTAAAAAAAATCCAAAAGCCGAGGGGTTCCAGGTTAACAGCAGCACAACCTGATGTTTAGAACAACATCTGTTGTTCCAGTACCTGATAGAGATGCCC